AGTATGAGTTTTGAACAATAACGTCTGAACGTGATTCGTAAGTATGAGACTAGATGAGCCTCAGGGATCGGGAGTGTCGATCTCAGGTGGTGCTGGCCGGGTTGGGTCAGGACTGGTTACCGTAGTGGATGGTGTTGTGTGATTCGAGTGTTGATCTCGAGTAGTGAAGGCCGGGTTGGTCAGGAGTGTTGACCGTAGTGGGCGRTGTTGGGTGATTCGAGTTGTTGATCTCGAGAGGGTTGTAACGTGGATCCTAAAACCAGTAGAAATCAATTTATATCATAATTCTCATGTTCTAATACWTATCATGCAAATCTAAAAATATATATTATCRRAATTTAAATAATATTTTTAATAACAGAAAAATATAGATTTRAACCCATCATGAATATTTATGATTATGTGATAGAAAATAAAAACAACTAAAATATTATAAAGTTAAATAAAAAAAATGTAAATTTTATGTTAGTAACCTCATAAAAACTATAAATTATGTTGTGAACCATCACATAAGTACATAATTGATAATTTTATTTTATTAACGTCATCGTTTTATTTCTCATAGAGATTTATACTCTCCAAACTTTATACCATATAAATTAATAGTAAATATAATATTATTATTTTTTAACTTATATAATTTTCAATATATAACCTTGAAGAGTACCAATGGCGTCATAGGTCRAAAATTTCCATTTTCTTTGTGATTTTCTGTAATTCTATATTGATTAAATATGTATTCTTATATATTTTATTTTTATGTTATTTTTGCATGGTTGTTTATATTTTTTAAACTTTTAAATTGAGATTTTTGTAACYTTTCTAACTTTTGTTTTTCCATTTTATATACTTTCTTTATCGTTCGTCTCTTTATTTATTTTAATTGAGTTTTTATTCTATATGTATTAGTTGTTTATTTTATGGCTTATGTCAACTCTATATTTCATCTTAATTTTTTGTTTTTTAATTATTATTGATAATATTAGAAATTTTACTTTTTTATTATTTGATTAGTAACTTGACAATTATTTTTCATTTTAAATTTTATTTTTTAATTAATTTTAAGTTTKAACACATTTTTCATCTGATCAATATTATATACATGTCGCAATCCCGTGAGTTATAATTTTRCTTA